GTGAGTCTCGTTACGCCCACGTTTTCGTACGGGCGTGGGGCTTCTTGAGGGTCGGGTGGCGGGTGGAGGTTGGGGGGGGTAGGGGAAAGGAGTGAGAGGGGAGAAGAAAAGGGAAGGGGGTAGAGGAAGAGGGAGAGGAAGAAAAGGAGACAGGGAGAGGATTTCTGGAGGGGGAGGGAGAGAGAGAGAGAGAGAGGAGAGAGAGAGGGGAAGAATGAAAGGGAAGGAGAGAAAAAAACAAACGTGGAAGGTGGAGGGAGAAGAAAGGTAGGGTGAAGTAGAGGGAAGGAAGAGGGAATAACAAAAGAGATGGAGAGGTTGATGGCGTTGATGAGCAGGGGTGCGCGGGCGGCGAGAACTTTTGATTTTTACTGTTTAGCCATTAGTTCCTCTGGCCTCATTAAGAACTTCACAGGCTGTATAATACTGGCCTAACTGTACTTAGCTGCAACTGTAACAAAGTTAATATGTGTTCAGAAGCCTGCGCGAGGTAGGACAGTGTTGGGTTAATCTGATCTGTTGCCTGGCTCTTTGCATCTCCCGGATATTGATACAGCTTTTGTTCTTGCCACTCCCGGTGCAGGGTGCGTGTTTGAAAGGGTTTTTTTCGAGGGTCTGGGATTGAAATTATATTTAGGATGACGATTAGTACGGTTTTCGTGTTGGGACGGAGAGAGACTGGTTCTGCATTCCTTCCCTGGTTTCGTCAGGGGGGAAATAGCCCTTGCTTGTACCAGGTCCTTCTGAGGACTGCGAGGATACAAGCTGCGCGTCAGAAGTTATGACTGATTTACATATATATTGGTCTTCGAATGTTAACATGTAAGGGATGATATTTCTCTCACTGACCCCCCCGATATCGAGACTCAGGTGCATAGACGTCTTAAAGGTACCAGGAAGAGGCAGGTTCCTCGAAGGGTAGGGTTAATGGTAGGGCGAAGGTGCTGGCAAAAAGCAGAGAGGGTGAGGGTATCCAGTCCGGGATCGACGGCCCAGGGCAAGGCGAGGGACTGGCTGAACTGCTACCGGTGTGGGGGAAGGGATTTCGCGATGATGCAAGCGGCTCAGAAGTGTATCTCGGGTTGATTCATTTGTTGTTGTTGTTTTTTTTTGTTTATTTATATATTTTATTTATTTATTTTTTTTTGGGGTATTTTGATTGGTTTTATCGGGAGCCTTTTATGTGTTAGAAGGGTGGTTATTTTTCCTACTCATGTTCTAAAAGTGAGGAACGTTGTGCCTGAGAGAAATTCCCTGGTGATGACGACGGATCGGAGGATACAGTGGGTTGATGTTGCTACATGATGATGTTGCTGTATGATGATGTTACTATATGTTGGTATTGCTACATGTTGGTGCTGCATGATGATGTTGCTGTATGTTGGTGTTGTTGTTGGTGTTGCTGCGTGCTGATGTTGCTGTATTTTGGTGTATGCGGTGTGTGTGTGTGTGGGGGGGTGTCTCAATCCTAAACACCAACTCCACCCCCCTTTCTTTCTTTAACGTTGGGGCGTGGAGGCCTAATTTCGATCGGCAACGGTGCTGATCGAAATTAGGCCTCCTCGCCCCAACGTTACATTTGGTTTTATTATAGTCTTTTGTTGTTGCTGCTGCTGTTATTATTGTTGTTGTTGTTTTTGTTGTTGTTATTGTTATTTCTACTACTACTACTACTACTACTACTACTACTACTACTACTACTACTACTACTACTACTACTACTACTACTACTACTATTACTACTACTACTACTACTACTACTACTACTACTACTACTACTACTACTACTACTACTACTACTACTACTACTATTATTACCATCATTGTTGTTATTAGTGTTATATATACTTTGCATATTTAGACTTTATTCTGTCATTTAATTGTCCATCGATCGTGTATGATATTCTTTTTTTTATTAGGTTTCTAAACAAAAGAATAAAGACGTGCCCTTTTTTCGTGAGTGCGTGTCTATACGTGTAGCAAAGGAGGAGAGGGGGAGGAGGGGAGGAGGGGAGGGCCAGATGATGGTGTAATTACAGGTTGAGAGTTCACGCCGGGTGGGCGACATCTGCCCCGACTCGCCCACTATCCCCATGACCCCTCCCAACCCCTTCTCCCCTCCTCTTCCCTTCCCCTTCCCTTCCCCTCCCCTCCCCTCCCCTCCTCTCCTCTTCCCTCCTCTCTTCCCCTGCCCCCCTTCCCCTCCCCTCCCCTCCCCTCCCCTCCCCTCTATGTCCCCTCCTCCCCTCCCCTGCCCCCAACCCCCTTCCCTCTGTGTCCCCATCGCGGGTCCTTCTCATAACCCCACCGTCACGGACCTTCCTCGCTCGGCTCCACCTTTAAACCCCCGTGAGTGATGGAGAGCGATGGTTCTGAGGGAGGGGGGGAGGAGGAAGGGAGGGAGGGAGGGAGGGAGGGAGGGAGGGAGGGAAGAAGAGTACGCTCACGAGGGAGTGGAATTCGGAGGGTTGTGTTTTTGGGTCTTTGTTCTATTCATTGCTTTTTTATTTTTTATTTTTTTTTTTTTCTAATGTTCTTCATGCACCCCTTCCTGTCTCCCCTCTCCCTTCCCCTCCCCCCTCCCTTTCTTCAACTCCTTCCCTCCCTCCCTCTCTTTCCCTCTTCTATTTTTTCTCCCTCGCCTTCTCCTCCTTCCTTATTCCTCCCGTCCTCTCTCCTTTCCTCCTCCTCTCTCTTCTCCTCGTTCTTGTTCTCCTTCTTCTTCTCCTCCTCTTCCTCCTTCTCCCTTTCCTTCTCCTTTTCTTCTCCATCTCCATCTCTATCTCCTTCTCCTTCACCTTCTCTCTCTCCCCTCCCTTTCCCAAAACCTCTTCCTCTCCTCCTCCGCTTATCACTGTTATTAACTGTTCGCTTATTATGGATCGTTGCTCTGTTGTCGTCCCAGCGTAGTGTGTGGTTTTGGCTTCCATGGTTTCCGATTCTTCCTCTGTGTTTCTCTTTCTCGTTTATCTATCCATTCGCTTATTTATCGTTCGTTAATACCATCGGTTCTTCGTCTTTCCTCCCTTTGCTTTTGCTTTCCTATTTTCTTTGTTTTTTTTATGTTTCTTCTAAAACTTCCACTTTTATTATAGTTGCAGTTTCACTTCATTTGTTTATTTTTACTCTCGTAATAACAATACAAGTCAGTGTTGTTGTCACTCGGGGTTATGATTTCCCGTCGCGTGTAAACATTGTGTCCACGCTTGTGATACGTTAATACTCGCCCTCGTCGGAAATGACTCAGACATCCAGAATTACCTCTTGATTTTTAGCTATTTCTCTCTCTGTTTCTGTCTCTATCTGTTTCTGGCGGTCTCTGACGGTCTCTCTCTAATGTTCGTTCTCTCTCTCTTTGTCTCTCTCTCTCTCTCTTTGTCTCTCTCTCTCTCTTTCTCTCTCTCTCTCTCTCTTTCTCTCTCTCTCTCTCTCTTCTCTCTCTCTTCTCTCTCTCTCTCTTCTCTCTCTCTCTCTCTCTCTCTCTCTCTCTCTCTCTCTCTCTCTCTCTCTCTCTCTCTCTCTCTCTCTCTCTCTCTCTCTCTCTCTTTCTCTTTCTCTTTCTCTCTCTCTTCCTCCCTCCCTCCTACCCTCCCTCCCTCCCTCCCTCCCTCCCCTCCATTGTCCTTGTCGTCGCCGTCAGCAGGCACGAGCCCGTTGGATATGCAAAGGTGATGTGTTCGTGTGTATTCACCAAACATCGAGAGCGAGTGGGTTTCCGTGGCGGCTCGCTGATGAAACCTTCGAAGGACTTGGGATTTACCGGAAGTCATTTCTCTCTTTCTCCCCCTACATTTCTGTTGTTGTTGTTACTTTTTTTATCTGTCTTTGTTTATCTTCTCGTCCGTGTCTCCATTCTTTGCACAACCCGGAGCACTTCCTACCGGTTTTTATCCCTCCGTTCTCAGGTCCTCCTTTCGGCGCTGCTGGTGGTGGTGGTGGTCTTGACACTACTCGAAGGTCCTTTGCTGTTTTTTTTTTCGTCTTTTGTCTCTTTTTGTTTTCTTTTTTTCTTTTCTTTTCATATCCTGAGGTGGAAAGGTCAAGGTTACGTGTGGATGGGAGAATTATATCGAGTTATTATTGGGATGGTGGTGTCGCTTCTCTTCTCTCTCTCTCTCTCTCTCTCTCTCTCTCTCTCTCTCTCTCTCTCTCTCTCTCTCTCTCTCTCTCTCTCTCTCTCTCTCTCTCTCTCGTTCGGATTCGCTCTTTCCCTGTCTCTTTTCTCTCTGTCTTCTCTCTTCCCTCACTCTTCTCTTTCTCTTTTTCTTTCTCTCTTTCTTTCTCTCTTTTTCTTTCTTTCTCTCTTTTTCTTTCTTTCTCTCTTTTTCTTTCTTTCTCTCTTTTTCTTTCTTTCTCTTTTTTTCTTTCTTTCTCTCTTTTTTTTCCCTCTCTCCCTCTCTCCCTCTCTCCCTCTCTCCCTCTCCCTCTCTCCCTCTCTCCCTTCCTCCCTCCCTCCCTCCCTCCCCCCCTCCCTCCCTCGTTACTCATTTTCTTCCCTCATTCCATTTTCTTTTCTTATTATTTTTCGCTTACTTTAATCAGCCTCCGCCCCACCAATCCGGTTCCCCTTCGTTTGTTTAACGTTTTCCAGTTCCCGACTCTCGTAACTCACGCAACCGCATAAGAAGTACCATTGCCAAATACGTGATCGAACCCTGGTCGCCTACGCCCCCTCCCGCCCTCCCTCCCTCCCTCCCTCCCTTTCCTCCCGCCCTCCCTCCCTCCCTCCCTCCCTTTCCTCCCTCCCCCTCTTCCTCTTTCTCTCTCTCCTTCTTTCTGCCCATTATTCACCTTCTCCTTCCTCTAATTCTCCTCTCCCCCTCTCCTTCTCCCTCTCCCCCTTCTCTTTCTTCCCCCATCTCTATTTCTTCCCTCCTTCTTCCCTTATCCCTCTTCCTCTTCCGTTCCCCTCCCCTTCTCCTCCCCTTCCCCTCCCCTTCTCCTCCTCCTCCTCCCCCTCCCCCCTCCTCCTCCTCCTCCTCCCCCTCCTCCCCCTCCCC